AAAAAAAAAAAAAAAAAAAAAAAAAAGAAAAAGCCGGAAAATAAGCACAAAAGAGTTATATGAAAATACTTTTTTTCAGGTGTCAAAAATTTAAAAGTAAAGAGAGTGAAAAAATTGCACGTCACGTAGGGTTGCATTTTTAATGTGGTGCCTGTTGTTTAAGGGTTTCGCATTGGTTACGCCGCTGTCGCTAGGAATCCTTGCAGCTAGATTAAGTGCAGGCATAGTCACTACAAATTCTCTACGATTACAGTCTTCGGGTAAAAGACTCGAGAATCACTAACTGACTGACTGCCTCATTGAATAAGTGGCTGATTGACTGCTCCACTGAGTGACTGAATGAGTGATTTGGTGGAACGTTGCTTTGGTCTCGGCCAAGAACTGTTGCGTCTTCTTTCCTTCAACCCCATCCCTAATCCCTCCCCGTCGTCTGTTTTTCGCCCCGGTTTGACCGTGACCTCCGCTGCTGAAGAGTTAATTCTTTGGCTGATCCAATTTGACGACCAGTCTAATCAATTCATTTCCACTCCATTTTTGTCTCCTTTTTTTTGTCTTTATTTATATATATTTTGGAATGGGTAATCGAGAAAAAGGTTCGTAGAATTTTATTATTGTTATATTTTTTTGTGAACTGTTATATTTGGTCAATTTCTCCAATATTATTCAGGGTCTAGCAGGTAATGGATGTCAGAGTAAACAGAGCAATAAAAAAAAAAATTAGAGGGGAAGAGAAATCTGTGAAAAAAAAAAAAATGGTCACTTTTTTTTCGCATGAAAATTAACCGCTTTTTAATCATAAGTGCTTTCTAATAAGAATAATGATTGTTTAATTCAACTTTCAACACCTTTTCTATTTTACACTTATTCAGTCTTTGATAAGAACATTATTCTTTTATTATTACTTCCCTAGCATGAAGGAGAAGTTTATTTAGTATATACACATATATATACTAAATATGTGTAATAGTTGAAGCTATGTTTTCTTTATTTCTTTTTTATACGCATAATACGTGTTCTTGTCTTTTTTTTTTTTAGTTTTTTTCTTCTTTTTTTTTTTTCTTTTTTCCGATCCTACCAAAGAGATGATGATCGGTTAGAAATAAAGAAGCATAATTACACTACTGTTAAGACTGCTTTGATTTTTGATCTCTTAAAGCGTTTGCGTTTTGATGTTTTGTACCGGCAATCAGACAAATGAAAGCTTTTTTTGTAATTGTATTTTTTATGCGTTGATTTATAGGTGAATGAGTGAATGAATGTATCAGCGTTTGAGTGAATATATCTGTGTCTGTGTCTGTGTCTGTGTCTATTTGAGTAAATGTGTATGTGAGTGAGTAAGTTTGTCTGTGTGTGTATGTGGTTGAGTGGGTGAATGAGTGAGTGAGTGTCTGTGTCCGAGTAATTTCTACAGAATTAATTCTATTTGTAATCTCTTAAATTGTGCTTTTTTTTCTTCAAAAAAGATTTAGAAGAAAAGGGGAAAAGACATACATAAATCTGACTACAGCCAATCTTTTTTTTTCTTTCTTTTTTTAAACTTTTCACATGTATTAGATGCAGAAGAAGAAAAAAAAAAATATACTGTTGGAAATTGGTGCTGTTCAGCTAAAATTTATATATGCT